CAAGCACAAAAAATGTCAAACATGTAGAAACATTCTAGTTGATAGTTCTGTTCTTGTGTAGACCTTTCAGTTCTTGTGTAGACCTTTCAGTTCATGTACGCATCTGACCAGGCTGAGACTGGGATCAGTCTCAGCCTGGTCAGATGCGTACATGAACTGATGAAGCCTTTTGGATGAGAGGCGAAACGTCTTCCCAGACAAATAATCAAGTCCAGTTGTTTCTATTTAAACTCCTTTAGGATACTATGACCTGGACAAATGAGAATATGCACAGGCTGTGTAGACCTTTGATATATTAACATAATACATCCCCAAGTCATTAATCCTACTATATAACCTTAACCATTACAACCACAACTCCGTCTCACCCTGGGGCTAACCCTAAACCTAGCTCTAACCTGGACACTAAAACTAAGACTTAAACCCTCAGAACCAGCCAAATTTGTCCACACAAAAATGACAGATGCTGTACAAGAGCACACACACACACACACACACACACACACACACACACACACACACACACACACACACATCTTGCACACGTGCATGCATTTGTATTGACAAGCATGGACACACGTATCAAACTGCAAACTCACCAAGCGACTTACAGACAAACACACACACATGACAGCAGCTTGACTGAAACAGATGTTTTGCTGGTACAAATCAAACTCTGTGTTTTCTAGTTTTGTGAACAGTCTTTCACAGTGTGTGAGCTCAGAAACAGAGTGGAAGTTTTTAGAGCGAGTAAGTCTGAATGGGTGCTCAAGCAAAAAATTTCAAACCAGCCTTGAATGAGTCCATAAAAACACTGGAATTCAAGGCACCTCAGTGACTTTCAAAGAAGTTTTGGCTACAGTGTCACGTTGGTTCAACTAAAACTCCTCAGAAGCAAATTTTAAGCGTGGACAATACATTGGAAATCCCAGACTTGTGACAAACTCCATTGAACAGTGTTTCCTGCTGCACTGCTTTCCATTGTTAGGGTTATATTTAGGTTTGGGGCTGAGGTTAAGTATCACATGAGATAGCCTACTTGGGGTTAGGGATACAGTCAGGTTCAGGTTAAAGGAGCTATTTGTAAGTTTTGCTAATGCTACATAGCCAAAGTTAGCATTAACAGCGGTTTACTTACCAGTCTAGAAGAAACGTTGCGAGTTCAGCATCAAACTTCAAAGAGTTTTCTCCAGCTGTGGAAAGCAACCCTTTTGTTTTTGAAGTTCTCTGCAAGACTGGTAAGTAAACAGCCGCTAATGCTAACGTTGGCTATGTAGCAATAGCAAAACTTACAATTAGCTCCTATTAAGGTAAGGAGAAACACAAATCAGTGTGCAAACAGACTTCGACACACCAGGTACAGTTTTCAAGACTTCTTGCTTTTTCTGTAAATCCCCACATGGAGTCTCAGTTTGTTTTTTTTTTGTTTTTGTTTTTACTTCTCCCTGCTGTTGTTACACAAACCTTTGTGACCAATTATGTTCTGTAACATTAACAATATATCCATAGCTATATCTATAGGGGCCGCATTTTTCGGAGGACGCTGTCAACAAAGGCGTGGCCCATGAAGACCACTTAGACTGTGAAAGCCAAACTGAAATGAGACGGACTGGTCTACAGAGGATTTCCCATTTATCCTCAGCCACTGTTTTATTTGTGGAGTCTGCCATATTCTTTCTTTGAAAAGTGATTGATCACTGGTGCACAATGAATCTTGGGATAGGTTGGGCCATGAAGGATCCATTCGTTGGACCTTTTGTGGCCCAACTTCTATCTAAATATCTAAATTTGAATGCTATTGAGTAGCAGCCAATTCCTGATAAGGTCAGAGGATCGAATAGGCCATAGGACAGAGTGTAACACCAGCAGTCCTTGTTTTCATGGACTCACTGGGAGACAGTGTGAGGTTTTTATCCTGTGTCCAAGAGAGTGGTACATCTTATGGGGTAAAAAACATCTACCAAACACTTCCTTCAATGTGAAATGAATGGCGTCATAGGAAAAGCTTGGTTCAAACGAGAGCTGAGACGATTAGTCGATTAATCGATTAATCAATTAGTTGAGCAACAGAAGATTAATCGGCAACTATTTCTCTCAGATATTTGCAGTTTCTTTTAGTTTCTTGTGGTAAAGTAAATGTATAGTATAGTAAATTAAATATTTTTCAGTTTTGGACCTTTCAGTTTGCTGTTTGAAGACATTTTTCATACATTTCGTCAAGGAAATCACCTGCAGCTTCTTTGATTATGAAAGTAGTTGTTAGTTGCAACCCTGGTTCAAACTCTGCAAACTCTCTAAACTTTGGACCTTATTGTACAAAAGATTTCTGACAATGTGGATTCAGCTTTACAAGTCTGTGCGTGCAGTAAGAAAAGAAGAAATCAGTGGGTGCTTGGCAGACGTACTAACCTGTGTAGTTGGTGGTGATGCTCTGAGTCTGCGTCTCTGTTGGAGCCCCTGTCGTTGCTTCAGTCTGAGCTTCCGTCACAGTCCCGGTTTCAGTCTGCAGGTCTGGCTGCAGCTGGACTGTCGTACTGGTCCAGTCCTCCGGCAGCGACGTGGTAGCGTTGCTCTGCTGGTCCTCATTCCTCAGTGTGGAGCCTTTAGCCAGGACCAGAGCACAGAGCAGGGAGCACACCAGCGTCCAGAGGTGGGTGCTGGCGCTTTGACTGGTGGGACCCACTTTGGGAGACATGAGCTCAGATAATGAAGAAGAGGTTTACTGTGAGAGGAAGACAGGGATTCACAGCCTCATGGTTCAGGTGTTTTGGCTCAAATTGAAGAGGAAAGATCCTGTAGGAGAAAGTTTGCTGCTTCCCTTCTTCTTGTCCCTTCTCTTTTCTGCACCTCCTCTGCTTTTTCTCTCCTGTTCGCTTTCTTCCTCCTTCTTCTGTTTCTTCTCACCTGTCTTCCTCTTCTCGGCTTCTTTTTTCCTCACTCCCTCAGTGGAGAGAGGAAAACCCCCTCGGTGTTGCTGCTCATGATGCTGTCGTGCTGCACGGAGGTATGAGAGAGAAAGAGATGAAGTGAGGGAGTATGCATGTGTTTGCTCATGTATGTATGTGTGTGTGTGTGTTTGTGTGTGTGTGGTAGATCCAGCTGTAATCTGCTTCCCCTCTGCTCACTTGCTGTTGTTTTCTCCCTAGCCTCCTCTTCTCAGTCCCTCAGCTTGCTCACTCGTGCTCTCACTGCTCACTCGGTCCACTGCTTGCTTGCTTGCTCTCTCTCTCCGTCTCTCTCTCTCTCTCTCTCTCTCTCTCTCTCTCTCTCGCTGATCTCCAGCTGGGCTGACTGAGCTCTTGCATAACAGTAACTCATTCGCTGAGCTGTGCTGAGCTGTAACTCATGCAGCCTTAAGTCCTGATATTCCTGGTTGCCACCCTTTCCCTCTCCGCCCCTCTCGCCCTGTTTCTCTCTCACTGATGTTTCAATGTATTGAGCATATACGGTAGTTGAAGGCATCTCTCAGAAGTTTCCAGGAAAACCATTCACACTGATCAATATTTACTATTGGATCGCTGCCACATGGGAGGTCACACACTGGAGGTTACAATTACGCCACCAGGCTGACAGAGGTTTGAACGATTGTAGTCGCCCCAAACTGAAAACTCAGCACAACGCCACAGAAAAATCAGAACCGACAGAGTGGTGCTCCCATCTTTAATCAATTCAGCTGTCTACACAGGCTCCATAATGGCCTCCATTTCACTCTGCTGGGCTCTGAGCGCTGCCAAAACACTGGTGATCTATACTCAACACTGTGACCAAATGCATCCTGTGTAGCAGAGCTGGCCCGACGCTAAAAGTGAGCTAAGTGCCTGCGAAGGGCCCTTGTGGCCACCACAGGGCACCCAAGAGCGCTTGAAATATCCTGCAAGAAAGCGTGAAGTGGCCCCACACGCTCAGTATGCAAGTTGCGTATAGGGCCCCGCAAATCACCTCCCCTTCCTGTCAAAGCGGGTGTCAGTGTTTACGACTTCATTAAGACGATGAAGCGGGTCTATCTGTCTGGTCATGAAAAGAAAGAGGGAGGAAAAAAAACCTACTAAGAGTGAATGGCAGGAACAACAATCAGGTTGTGTTGTGTTCTCTCCAAGTTTGATTTCAGCACATAACTTTATTGTTACGTTGATGCGCTAGCGGGTAGTGCATCTCTCTCTAGTCTGTTCTGCCTTGCTAACCTAACTTGGTCTGTCTGTGTCTTGCTTGTTTACCAGCCACTTCCAGGGCTGTTCTGTGACCTTGTGCCGGAGAAAAGTGAGTGAGAAATACAACTATTTATTACGTTTGATAGCATTTTATATTGGAAATGGTTTGTACGTCTCACAGGTCAGGTAGGAGGCCCCAGGGAGGTCGGGACTGGCTCTGCTGTGTACTGATAGAGGACCGAAACTGCTGCTGCTGCTGCTGCTGCTGCTGCTAACATGCTGCTTTTGCTATGTGGGCTGTGTAAACATTGTATAAGCACCAATCTCCTACTGATGGATAGTCATTCAAATAGTCATTAAATGATAAAAAATAAAATGGTTTATGTATTGTCCCCTGTTTCCCTTGGCTAAAATTCTTCTCGTCACCAATGTCAAAAGTACTTGTTATTTATTGAAATTGATTGAAAATTCCATCTTAGGCCTTATACTCAATTTGCTGTGAGCTGGAACGAGCTAGAGATGAAACTTGGTGCCATAACTGCAAACGATGTGCTGATGCGTCCCATGAAATACGACTACAATTGGCCTGGCGCTAAAATTAACAGTCAAAAAAATGAAAAATTTGGAAGTCCTCACATTTATAACTCAGTATACTCAGTATAAAAAGCCTCTTGGATCATAAACGTCCGCCAAGACAGACTTTCTGCCATTAAAATTTTTTTGAGAAACACATTTTTGACATCTCTTTGTAAACCATAGGTCCGTCTGCTACCAAATTTTGTGAGGATCATTATTGGACCAAGCTTATCAAAAGTTGAATAAAGCTTGTTTGGTTTCCAAGATATTGACCAGTGAACTTCAAAAGGAGGGAGCTCAGCACATGAAAAGCCAACAACCAATCATCATTCATATGACCTAATGATGGTCATGATTCTGTGTTTTCAAATCATATATGAAATAAACACATGATAAATTCTGTTTAGAATATCTATCCTCAAACATTTTGTGTAACCTTGTGAAGCGACCTAAACCACAAACTTTGCTGTGATCACTGATGTCTGGGAAACGAGCCAAGCGTCCAGCCACAGGGCTTAGCTGATTTTCAGTAAATATTTTTCCACCCTTGTACCCGAGCGGCACAAACTGAACTCACAAGATAGGCATCTACTGTGCAAGGCTAATATTACAGGCTGGGAACAACCCACAACACACTGGAAGAACTCAGTTTCCTCTTATGTAGCGTGATGCTCTCAGGTCATGTGAATGTTGTGTTACAGCGCGTCACCAGTATTGTACAGTTTTTGAAGCCATCAGTGCCAAGGCCTTGTAGTGCAACGGTAGAGCATCTGACTCCAGATCAGGAGGTTGCATGTTCAAACACGTCAAGGTCAGCTCTTTGTGAATAGGAGTGGTGTTTCAGTAGGTCTGACACATGTTGTATAAAGAGTAGTTTCCCTGCTTAATAAATTCATCATGACTGAATGTGTTTTTTACACTCATCCATGTGATGAAACACGTGACTTGAACACCTGCCTACCTTCCCCTGCATCTCTGAGTGTGCGCACCATCCCGTTTATGTTGTAGCTATACGTGTGTGTGTGTGTGTGTGTGTGTGTGTTTTCATGCATCCTTCATGTGGGACTGTATGTGTCACAGGTGGATGCTCAGGTGTAATGTGATGACCCCGGCAGCTCTTGTTGATAGCTCTGTAGTCAGAAAGTCCACGCAAAGTGCTGAATAATTGATGCATCTGGGACCAAAAATAGGAGAGAGAAATGGAAAGAGAAAAGAGGTGGAGATGAAGAGCGATTTTGAGAGAGGAGCAGACAGAGTGAGCGATGACAACAGCAAGAAAACAATCAGAGAGAGGGAAAGACAGCAAGAGATTGGAAAAGAAAGACAGGATAAAGTGAGATCCAACGCTTTTAGCCTGAGAAAACCGCCATTTATCAAATGTTGGGCCGGTAAATGGGTCCATGGTGGGATCTGCTGCTGCAAACTACATTATTTACAGCCACAGCTTTGCCAAAGTGGACACAGGAAAGGCTTCACAGGACGGATCCAAGATTTTATTTTAAGCCATCAAATTATAGCTGCACTAGGCGAGGTTTTTATAGTAAAAATACACCCGTCCTATCAGTGTAAATCAGAGAGAAAGGTTTCAGGTGTCAGGGTTTAATTGATGCAGGGAAATGGTCTTGCTGCACAGGAAGTGTGAAAATACAACACAGTGATGAGTTAGCATGTTTTCCAGATAAAAGATTTACAGATTTACATCTCTTGCATGTATCACATCAGAATTTAGATTTTATATGCAATCAGATAGATAGATAGATAGATAGATGGATAGATAGATACTTTATTTATTCATGACAAATGGCATGTTATAAAGGAACAGTTTAACATTTTGGGAAAGACACTTATTCAATTTCTTGCCAGGAGTTACATAAGAAGATAAATAGCACAGCACAGCATAGCATAGCGGAAAGACTGGAAACAGGGGGAAACAGCTAGTCTCACTTTGTCCAAAGGTAACGAATCCACCTACAAGAACCTACAAAGCTCATTAATAACCACATATTATTAACACAATCCAGTGTTATTTTGTTGAAGATAAATTTATTTATTGGTTAACTCCATAACTTCAGCTATTTTGTAACATCTAGCTGTTTCCCCTGCTCTCCAGTCTTTTTACTAAGCTAAGCTAAGATAAGCTAAGCTAATCAGCTGCTTGTTCTTGCTTCATATTTCCTGTACACACATGAGAGTGGTAATGATGTTCTCATCTAACTCTGAGCAAGAAAGCAAACAAGAGCATTTCCCAAAATGTTAAACTGTTCCTTTAATTTGAAACATATGAAAGATATTTTGTTCTGTTCCTGATCTGCTTTAAGTGAGCTTTTTAATTATTTCCATGTATACACTAATATGACATTCACTGCTCTGGCAGCACACATGTATTTATTATGTAAAAGCATAACGGTAAAGAGTGCGTTCTTTACTGTTGTTATGATAGTGATGCACAGCTCTTCATTATGGGATTTTATACAGTAACAAGATTACTTTATATAAACAGAAGATGTTGACATGTTGAGTGCATGTGAAATGCCTGAATATAAGGAGAATTTTTTTTCTTTTTTTCTTACTGTTAAGCACAGTTCAATCAGACAGCAATGACCAGTGGCTTGTGTACACAGTAGAATCAATAATATATAGTGTCTTTAGTATCCCACCAGCAGCATTGTTTAACATCAATAAATCATTGCCACATTAATTATAAAACATACTTTAAGTATAACTAGTGCAAACAAATGAGACTGTCACTGAGCAGACTATCAGCCTCGACAGTCTGAGCCACCATGCTGGATTGCTTTATGGCACAAAACATGAAGATGTTTGAAAGAGTGGAAGTCAGACAGAGGAGGCAGGTGGTGCAGACAGACGCCCATGACACACTTTGAAGACAAAAGTGTTTCTTCGCCTAAATGTATGTGTGTGTGTGTGTGTGTGTGTGTGTGTGTGTGTGTGTGTGTGTGTGTGTGTGATAGCACTTGTGAGAAGGATTATGAGGATTAAAAAAGCAGCCGGGCAGATATGAATAAGACGGATGAAATTCACATTTGTGCCCGTCACTCTCAATTCTTTGTCCAACTGGAATCAGAAACTGAGGCTTACTGGACAAGTCAGTGAGATGATGACAGAGTGGAA